GAAATACAAAATACGAAACTAGGTTATATTACAATTGCATAAAAATTCTGAAAAAGGCATAATTCAAAAGAACAAAATTCATTGTATAAATCGGTAAATTTAAAATAATTAATAAGAAGTACGAAATCTCTAATGAAATGAATAATAATCAAATTATTCTTTTGATGATGAAATTTTCACATAATATTATGATTTATCGAGAATTCATATCATTTAATTGACATTAATTATATATGTTTATTATATATGTAAATGATCATATATTTATAAATGAACTTGCAAAATATTTATAATATATATTATAAGAAAAATATTAGACAAAGCATTCTAAAAGATATTATTTTTTAATAATTTTATATTTTAATAAATTTACTAATTTTCGATTTGTTTTCATATAAAATATGTAACATATTTATTTATTATATCATTACTTATTATATCATTATTATATCATACTTATTATATCATTATTTATTATATCATTAATATATATATATTATATTTATAAATTATTTTTTTTATGATTTCTAATAAATATATTCTATTAAAAATAATTTAAATATTTTAATAATAAACATGAAATTAAAATATGAACAATACAAAATTGACAATAAATATTATACAGATTTATTATTATTTAAATAATATGCATAATTTAAATAAATTTTTTTAAATATATATATATATATATATATATATGTTATTTTATTTTTTTCATATTCGTATAAATTATTTTATTTGTTTCATATTTATTCTTTCTATTTCTTGTGAAATAACTCAAGAAAATCAATTATAATTCCATTCGTCAGAAGGCCATTCTTGGCCTTAGAAATCATGTTATGTCTCAGAGAATCCAGTTAAGTTAATCCGGAACATTGGTGAAAGGAATAATTCAAAGTTCAAATAATTTTAAATTATTAATGCCTATATATCTTCATTTCTGCTTCTATTGGTATATATATAGTAATCAAGTTACTATAGATATATATATTGATATTGAAATCGATATGGCATTTGAATTGATAAATTTCACAAAGCCAAGATTTTAGAATATCTATTCAAGAATCGAGAAAAGATCTCCCACAGATAATGCATTTGGATAGAAAAATCAAATGTCCATCTTCATTGTCTGCTATCTATCGAAGTATCAACCAATTTTACACGAATTAAATATCGAATTTCATAATGTGCACAATGGAGAAATTTGCTTTGAATATTTGATCGTTAAATTAATATTATGTAAATTATATATTTAAGAAATCAATCCTTTCATATTTTATATTTTATATGAATATCATTTTTTATAAATTTTAATTACTTCTTTTTATAATATTAATACTAAATAAAAATTAAATATTAATGTAATAATTAAAATATTATTTTATTTTCACAATATTTTTAAATATTAAAAAATTTACAATTGTTCAAATATATAGAGAAGATATAAAGAAAGGAAAATAAACGAGGAATAAATTTAATAAAAATTAATTAAGTTAATTTAAGTAAATTTTAGTTTAATTATTTTAATTTAAGTTAATTTCAGAAGAAAATTAATAGAATAAAAGTAAAATAATTTTTATGTATAATTAATCAGTAATGAATAGATTAATATAATATAATTTGAGAAAAATATAATTTTTTTATTGTTATATTATTTTTTTAATTTTTAAACGCGAATGTAATTTTAATATAGATAAATAAATATGAAATACAATTTTAATCCAATATAATTAAGATTAAAATTCAGAAAGCCTCCGTAACTTTATTATCTGGAATATCTTGCTTTTCATAATATTGAAAAGTGCTTCGAATAAATATTGAATGATTTCAAGAGAATTATATTCAAATATTAATTTTTCCGTAAATATATAAATATATAAATATATATATAAGAAATTATAGATAATAAGAAATATAGTAAAGAAATATTGCGTGCATTTTTATATCAAATTAAAATATAATTTAATTATATGTAATCATTTATAATATTTTTTATTCAAATTAGTTTCAAAAAATTGTAAATAACTTGTAATAGTAAGGAAGTTTTTTCCTCAATATCATTTTTCTCTGAATCAATAAATTATAATGAAAGGATTGGACACAGAGTGTCTGACCATATGCGCTCCATTTCTACTTTCTTGTTAGTTTGTCGATGCTTGGTAAATGTTATAATTTCATTTCTTTGCCAATTCACATATTTAATATTAACCAATATTAGAAAATTTACAACTGCAAAGTAAATTTATAATTATATTATTTTATTACTTTTTATTTATTATAGTAGTTTACAAATAATCAATTAGCTTATAATTTATATGAAGTTTACTCGTAGAAATTAGTTTACTTATTATTGTTGTGTAAACTTCATCAATTTTAAACTCTAATAATACATTTTAAAATTACTGTGAGACTAATTTGATTTATATTTTGTCGAATATAGTTCTTAAAAGACGCATTATGTGAAAATACTTAAAAAAAAAAAATATGAATTATAAATGAACATCTTTGAAATAATCGCTAAATACTCCTATGCTTATGCTTCACAAATGGACACGTCATTTATTACTTCTTTTGCTATTTAGCATTATTCAATGTTTTCAATTGAGCTTACAATATACAGAGATTTGTTCGTGTGAATTGTGTATCTGTTAATTTTATCTTTTGAACTTGACTGAATTGCTCCTTTTCTAAAATAAATAATTTTGTCAATCAAATCGTTGTCTATTTGAACGATGAAGCTTTTGTCAGGGAAGTACAAAGCTTTTATTTCTATTTGTTTATAACATTTTCTGCGTCGTTAGTTGTTTTACTATGAACTTCGTTAGTGTTCCTTTCGATGAATCCTTGACTGAAATAAAACATCGCTTTTCCAAAAAGAAAAAAAATATCGATAAGACAAAACTCAAAAACGTGACGAAATTTTTTAAGAATAAATATGTAAATTTTGCACGTGGAAATTCGTTTATCGAGATATGAAAGAAAAAATGGGGACTTTGTTTTAAAAAATGGCATACCCTTTTTTATGGGTGAAAGGAGAGTTATACTCGGGTGTCAATTTGATACCTGAATAAATGATATCTTATTGAAACACATAAATTATATTATTATTATTATAAAAGGATAATATAATATAATATAAAGGATAAATAAAGTCTTCTATCATTCTTCTATAATAGCTTCTGTAGCTAACTTTTTCTAAAAATATAGAAAGATAATAAAATATAATAAAATAATTATTAAAAAATAATGTAAAAATGAAAATTCGTCGATGTTAATCATCAATATTTTATTCTTTTTCTATATCACATATTATTAGTTTAAATATTTTTTCAAGCTAATATCATATTCAACTTTTCGAAGCTATAATTGTGTCAAATACAATTACTTTTTAAATAATAACAGAAAATATTTCTAAACACTTGGGTATCTTTATTATTTTTCAAATAAAAGAATTTTTTAAATTTTTTAAATTTCAATTAATATAAAATCATTTTCAATCTTTTAATTATAAAATTTCATATAAGAACATATGGAATCCATTGACAAAAGAACAATATCATAAAATTTCCATACAAGAAATTAATAACAGAATCTTTCTAATTCTTCTTGTACTCTAACAAAAAATTACTCTGAAATGATATATGGAAATAAATACAGAATGAAATAATATATAGAATCAAAAGTAAATTGTTTCCATGTATATGTACGATACAAAGCCACTTATTTATATAAACTATTCGAAGACTTTTCTTTTGATTCCTTTCTCGAACAATCGCATTTAGAAGATGAACAAATTTCTGATGTAATTTATTTCATTTCGATCTTGACCCTGACTGAAACTTCTCATGACAACGTTTCATTCTAAGAATAAAATAGAGAAGCGATTCCACAGCGTTAAGTTTCCTCTAAGAACACTCGTAATAGCCATCCTCGTTTGCACAAGATTACTTTGTTAGCGATAGGTTTGAGTAATTGTAAATAAATTCGAACATTAATAGAGATTGAGATTCTTTATAAATAGTTCAAAAATAAAAAGATATTTTTAAGTATATCTGAACATATTGTGAATGAAATATAAATTTTTTTTATAAAAATGAAAAATTTCAAATATTTTTAAATAGAATATATTACTGTATTTCCGACAAATCTATCCCCGTCTCATTTCGTCTCTATTTTATCTATTAAATTGCTTATAAATAAATTTTAATAAATAAACGTCAACTAACATTTTGTATATCAAGCTTGGTATTTGTTTTATTTCATTTAGATTTGATTTTTTTAAGGATATTCTAAAAATATATTAATATTCTATATAAATTCTATTCTAATATAAATTCATATACACAAAGGATTTTATCATTTGTTTCTATTCATTCATTTTCTATAATTATTTGAAATAATTAAAAATTTGATTTGAAATAAAATCGTTCAAAAACATCTTGTTTCTCAAAAAAATTTTTAAATTTTGTTTGCACAATATCTATACATATATCAAACATTACATATTTCCTATTTCTTATTTCAAATAAATATTTATCCTTTTTATTTGTTATTTCTAGACTTTATTGAAAATTTAAAGTTACAAAAATCCATAGAATACACATGTTATATAGAAAGAATGCAAAATAAGATATATACACAATGATATTTATAAACGAAAAGATCTCTCTCTCTATTCTAAAGTTTATTTTCTCTAGAAAAATTATATTATCTCGCTTACCTTGTAATCGTAATCCATAAATCTTTCACATTTTGAATTTGATTTCAAAGTATTTAAATACACTCGCTTGATCTCACCATTAGTCACGGTCAATTAACCACAACAAGAGCTTTCATTATAGCACATGTCGTCGTAAACAATGAGGAGAAAATATAAATGGAATATCGTGTTTATGATAGGGATGCGCAGTAAGGGTGCGCGTTTCTGACCGGTTAGGTCCTTTAGGCAAAATTCACAGTCTGCCGACAGCCGCGCTTGATGAAACTTGATTCCGCACCAATCTTGTTTTGGAAAACAAAACTTTCCTCCGTGTATTTTCCTTTATTGTACTTCCGCAGACAAACTGTTTATATTTTTTTTTCTTTTGCTTCTTTTCCTCCCTCATTTTCGCTAACTTGGCGAGATCCGGAAAAAAGTCAGTGATATTACATATGGGGATGAACACGGCGGAATGATCGAGAGTCGATGACGGTTAATTAAATTTTGTTATGCAAGATATGTCATTACAAATTGTCTAATGTGTTAAGGGTAATGCTCGAATAACTTCTAATTAGAAATTGATAATCATTATTGTATGAAGAGATTGAAAAAGGATTGGATAACTATTATCAATAAATCAAATAGAGCTAGGAATGGATAGTGTTGATGCAAGAAGTGTGGATGGTTTGTGATTAAATGAATTATCGGTGTTTGGAAATTTGTTGAATAATAAATTTGTTGAATAAAATTGTTATTGTGTTTTGAAATTTATTGTGTATTAAATAAAAATTGTGACCAAATGTTAAAATTCTTAAAGTTTTCAAACTTTACGAATTAAACAGAGATCTTTTATCGTAATTTAAAGAAAAATTGATTTTTCATAATATAATGATGAATATATTGTTCCGAACATAAAACAATATAGATATTTACATAAAAGAACCGATATTGATCGAAAATTTTTTTCGAAAAAATTATGACATAAGAAGATGAGTATTAAAATAAAAATCTAAAAATTAAAAATGGTATAAGGAAATGGACGCGAAAGAACTGATATATAGTGAGAATCGATCGTATGTTTTTCAATAATATTATATATATTCTCGTGTGAACCGTGAAAAAACTTTCAAGTTGAAGGATAAAGAGGAAAGAGCGACAAATCAATTAAGAAAGAATATGCTTGTGATCGTGTAAGTAAGTTCAACATCGTGGCAAGGTATGGTGGTTCAACAACTTTTCTCCTTGTCCTCTTATCCTTGTCTTCTTTAGAAACTTTTTCTCTTTGAAAGATAAACATCGGTGCATGAAATTGCATTTAAATAATGCATCGAAACGATTCGACAATATTTCTTAAATTGGATATTAACGCATATAATTGAATAATAATTATATTTGCATTTTCAATTATAGTATTGGCATTATTAATTTATTTCCGAAGTGTTGATGATTTAATTATGAACAAATTATGAATATGTAATATCGTATCCATTATCAATGTTTATATAACTTTTTTATTGTATTTTAATATGAAAATTTTTTTTCACGATTTATTTAATTATTTATTTAATTAAATTATCAGAAATAAAAATTTGAATACAAGCATTATTAGAACAAGCATTATTAGATATTAGAATTAAATTTATATTAATCGCATTCTTTAATTAAATGAAATTTAATTATATTTTTTAAATGTTTTTGCAAGATAAGAATAAAATCTCGATTGAGAATTTAAAATGTTTCTATTTTTATTATAAATTCGAATAATTACTATTAAATCATATAATTTGAATAATTCTTTTATTTGAATAATGCTATTTATACATATGTGACACTAGTTGTATTATTGTTTATTTTGTAATTTCTTTTTAGGATAATATTTAAAACAAATATTTATATGTAATATTTTATTTATTTTCATTAAAAATATTTTTATGTATTACATTACAAACAAATTATCATTGATTCGACATTACAGTATATTGTGTTTTTGATTATTTTAAAGTTTTCTTTTTGATTAATAAATATTGTATCTATGATCAATTTCGAGTTTTCTGTGAATAGCAATTTTTTTTAAACACAATTGTACGTTAAAATTGCGTTGAATAAGATATCATAATTAACCTACTAGGAAATCAAGCTCATTGAAATGCAACCCACAGTTGTCGTTCTCAGTTTGAAAAAAATTCAACATAGCTTTTATTTATTTATTCCTTTTTTTAAAATCTACATATGAAAACGTTAAGCATGAATTTCAATTAAAATGTAGACATTAAAATTATTTTTTATTAAATTAAAATTAAATTCAATTTAAAAAAATAATATTACGTTAGTTAAAAGACTACAAGAAAAGATTTTATATTTAATGAAATAATTAATATCATAATTGTCATAACGTAAGAAATTTTTAAAAATTTAATTTGCAAATATAAAGAATATAAATGAAATGGAAATTGTATAAAGTCTGAAATTTTAAATTCAAAAGAAAAAATTATTAAAATAAATCTACACAAGAAATCGTGACAACTGAAAAAATTCTTTCTGAAACGGTTTAATATTAATTAAATTTCAATTAAATATATGCACTTGGATAACATAAATAATTTCTTTTGAGAGTAATTAAATTTAATTTTAATTTATTTAAAAGAATTAAAATACTATATAATAATCGATAAGATAATAAAAAAAATAAAATTGTTTCATTTCGCATAAATCTTGCCAATCTATTTAATTTTTCGTCTTCGAATTCTATTTTTTTTATCTTCATCCTCAGAAAGATTCCATCGTTTTTCAAACTCGGTCCAGATTATCTGAACAGTCTACTTCATTAACGATTACTCACCCATGATCCTCTTACTTGAGAGTATCTGGATGGAAAAGAGATACGATCGAAGAAAGGATGAAAAATTATGAGAGAAAAATTCGCAGGAATGACGAAAGCTAATAAAAGCTTCTTTTTTTTTTTTTTTTTTTTTTTTTTACTCCCTTATCCTTTCCTTTAAAAGATTTTATCGCTCTTTAACGCGCACAATCGGTTTGCTCGTATTCGAAGAAATTTCTCTGCCACGAATGGTATAAAGGATCACAGTTACACGTTTCATTGGAACGTTAAAAAATAATTCGTGGATTTAAGTTGGAAGGTCAATAAAGGATATCCAAGTCGACATATAAGATTCTTAAGATTGTCGAAGAAATTTTTCTTTTACGAATATCGTAAAATTGCCCGGAATCGGGTTATTTTCCTCTATTTACGTATCAAACGATCCCTTGAGACGAACTGCACCTGGATACTATGGAAAAATTTACATTTTCAATGTCTTTCGCCTTGTCATAGATCATCGTTTATTTTTGAAATACTTGGAGTTTTACACATATAAGAGTTATATAATTTAACTATGTCTTAAACCTCTCAAATTCAATTTTTTACATAATTATATAGATTTTTTTTATATTTTTCTTTCATCTAATTTTTTTTATAAAAAAACATACATAAATAGAAATTATATAAATATTTATTTAAAGAATCTTATTATCATTTATTATCATTTATTTAAAGTCTTTTCAATGTTATATTGAAATAATAATTTAGTAAAAAGGAATGGTTATTTACAGTATAATATTTTATATAATTATATTATATATAATCTTACATTGATCAATAATTTAAAAAAAAAGAATATTTGAAAATTTGTGAAATGGATACAGGATATATTTTAAGTAATTTTTGCATATTATAATAGATTTAATAAATCATATTTTTAAAAATTGCTATATATATTTGTTACATTAAGAAGAATACTTAATTAATTAATAATTTTAAATGCACATAATTTTAATATTAAATATATCCGTATTTTTCAAATAACATTTCAGTTATCGTAAAAGTGCAAATATTATTTATTATTTCAAATAAAATTTAATAATAAATTAATATAGAGAATAATACAATATTTTATCTAAAACCGTATATGAAAAAGATATTAATCACTTTATAATTTTTAAATTAAAGTACTTCAATTAATTGAAATATTTATATTAATTTTGTTAATATTTATGAAATTTTTAATATCGTTAACATTGCATCAAATATTATACTAAATTCATTTAAAAATAGTTTAAATAATTCTATGTTCTAATTTTTAGTTAATAGTTTATTTTTTAGTTTTTAGCATAAGTTAATTATTCGACAATAAATATAACATACAAAATTCACATGATTCATACGTTGAGACTTATAGAAGAAGAAAGTAAAATAAAGTATAGTACTATATTATATAGTACTTATACAAACACAATTAAATATCCTGAAAAAAAAATATTTGATATCAATTGAATTGTTATTAATTCTTTTCGAAAAAAATTCATAGGTTAGATTATTCAACTTAACTCACGCAAAAATTATATATTTAGAAGAAGAATATTTAGAGGTTATTAACTTAACTTAACTTAATTTGAGCTAAACATATTTTTAAACATTATTGTTTAAAAAATTTATAATTCTTCTAAAACCAATCAAAAACATATATTATATATATTATATATTAATATACATAAAAAAGTTTAATAAATAATAACCTAACCTAATCACTCTAAATGTCATGAAATTAAAAATTTATAATCTTTTTAATCAAGAAAGTTAACATCATTTCTTTCATTTTTAATTTCATTTTTCATCATTTTTAATTTAATTTAATCAGCCAACTAAATACCGACTAAACGATAATAAATCGACTCATGTTTTATCTCTGTTTTATTTTTCATTCGAAACGAAACATTAAATGAAAATAAATAAAGATAAATTTTTTTTATTAAATTCAAGATAAGATCAAGAAATAAATCTTGTCAAAACGATGATCCAAATTGCTTATGCATTAAAACCGTAATCGCGATAATAAACGCGACGTTAAAGACGTTATTTCGTATGCAAATTAATGAGATTTGAAGATTTGATAGAATCCCGCATTTCTCATACAAAAATAATTGATATTTATATGAAATTTTACTATGAAATCAACGTTTCTTGTTTCAATTTAATTTTCTTACATAATCAAAGACTTTCTATTAAATCAAACAAAGTTGTGTTCAAACTCTCAAAATCTCAAATTACTTCTTAAATTATTACTTACTTCTAATTACTTCTTAAATGTAAATTAATAGAATTCAATAAAGTCGTGCATATCTCGTGCAAAAATAAAATAATTTCGTGGAAAGTAATTAATGATTATAATAATGATTATGATAAAAGTTATAATGATATATTTAAATTATTTTTACAAAAAAAAGAATTTTCATCTGTAATTTTTAATAGATCTTTTATGTAACTCTTATTTTTCTTCGAAATAATTTTAATCTAAATTCCTGTTTTGTAAACGACACCTTCTACATTCTTGCAATCTACAATCTACAAACAAAGTATTGTACTTTTAAATTTTTCCAAGAATAATTTTCCTTCTTTCTATTTATAGTCATTTTACATTCTTCAAAATTATTTATTTGATTTGCGATAATATTTTCGATTTTCGCAGGAGAAGCAAGTAATTTTCAATAATCTCTGTGCCCGTGTTTCTCGATCAAAAACGAGCTATGGATTTTAAATATTTATTATCTGTAATAAAATAAAGATTAAGCATATATCGTAAAAAGGAAACTAATTACTTGTAAAAGTAATGTATTTATAAAAGGATATTTTAAAAAATAAGTCCTTATTTAAATATTTTGTAAAAGAAAAATGAATTTGATGTATTTATATAGAAATAGGATGAATATTAAAAGTGTAATTCTTTAAAATATTCCAAGATTCGAAATAATTTTTAAAGAAATATTTTTAGTAAAAATTCTTACTTAGAAATATCGAATTTCAGATCAAAGGAAAAGATTTGAAATCTTTTAAATATCAATGAGAAATTTAATTTATAAATATCTGAATAAAGAATAAAAAAAATAATGCAGTTTTGAATTATACAAATGATAAAAGATAAAGTTGTATTTGATATGCAAAAAAGATAAAAGATAAAACAACAATGCAATGAATACACATATATCATGATGAAGAAACAGAAGAGATATAATAATAAATACTTAAATGACTCAAAAATATCATCATATCAGATATAAATTGTTTGGAAAATAAAAATTGATATGATATATTCATTTGATTTATTTTAATACACGATTAAAAGGAGATACTTGTGTT